AAAAAAAATGCATGTCGACTTACCCGGCGGGGCTTCGCAGATGTAACAGTTCTCGTCCCTGGAAAGAAAACATAAATTGTTAAATCGTTTCTGAATGTACCGACCTGTTCAAGGTAAGCTGAAGCACGATAAAACAGTTAAACTTATAGAAGTAAAATCCGTCCCCTACTGAACATCGCTGTAAAAATCCACATCTTCACTTTCCGGACTGATCCAGTATCTGTAAGGAAAAGGACATACGTGATAGTGATTGAATCCGTAACATGTAGATTGTATAGTAAAGATGGAAATGAACTGTATAGATTTGCACAAAACCTATTTCCTATTTCATACACATGAGCACTTTAGAAAATTTGATATTCCTAATGCATCTAGACAAACCTTCCATCGAAAAACATGTGTTTCTTTATCTGATTTATCTGATTTCATCTGATGATAGTTTTATTTTGTATATGTTAGATGTACCTGTTCATCATGTTTTGTTTTGTTTTGTTTTTGACCTGTACTTAGCCCAGTGTAAAGGTCGTCATTCATTCATTATTTCTCGATCAATAAGAAGATGTTTATTGCAAATTCATGTCCGCAGGCTAATTGCAAATTACAAACATAAAAGAACATTGAAACAATGTTCCATTCATTCCTTCACATGCAAGAGTAGGCTAGGCAAGAAAACATAATGGAACTTACGGCACAGGTCCACTACTTCCCTCCATAGCGTCTTCCCTGTCTTCCGCGTTGTCGATCACAACTAGGGAGCCACCCCTGTACATACAGTCGTACTTGGCGTTTTCGTAGCTTCTCTCCACGTCGGAGATAAAGAAGCACCTCCCGTCAACCTCGTTGTACCCATCAGGACATGCTGCAACAAGTTTCACCAGAAGTTCTATTCTATATTTGTTTTCATTTATCGTCGAACAAGAATCCAAAATATGCATTTTGGCGCTGAAAATATTGGTAGACTTTGACATATTAAAATCTTTAAAAGCCTTGTATGAAATACGTAAAACATATGAGCGCATATTTTGTCTGTAGAAATGAATTTCATATCATCCGGCAATAAAATGAAAACCGGATACATTTAGCAAAGGAGTTTTAATCAGAGAGGAAGGAGGAAAAGAAAGAAGAATGAGGAACAGAACAAAGAACATGAAAGAAAACAATGTATTTATCAAGTCCATCCCTCATATCATAAATACAGTATATGCTGTAACATGTATAGGAATCAGATCTTACTTTGGATTGTCAGTAGTGGTATTGTCAAGAACACCATATACAATAGGAATTGCCTCTCCATCTGGAATATCAGAACGAAGACCAGTTACATCACAATATCCGATAAGAAAAAATAAAGCACCGTATTTCATACCATACGGTACTACAAGGCAGATAAGATCAATGTTATTGTATCGGAGTGTAGGCAAATGTTGACAATATACAGTATTCTCACTCCGGCTGCGAATGAGGTTAGTGCGCGCTCACCTTTTACTGGGTCTATTTTCCTCCGGAGCGACTGCAGTACACTAGGTTTGTACACGTGACATTGTACATTATATTATCCCATAACCGTTTCTGTAAGAATGTACTTGGGGTGCATAGAAATGTTAGAGCAGAACTAGGAAGACTCCCGTTAGATTTAGATATATCCCTTCGTACTGTTAAATTCTGGACACACTTGACACAACTTAATACCGATACACACCCTCTGCAAGTTGATGCACTCCTGTTACAACGTAATTCCCTGACATATAGTCGTAGACGGACATTGTTACAGCGTGTGAAGGAGATCCTCGACCACTGTGGATATTCCTACCTACTGCATATTGATAGTACAACTTGTGATCCTCAACGTACGTATAAAGTATTAAGGACAAGACTTTCAGACATGTACATTCAAACTTTCTTCCATAGTTTGTCTGTTAATACCGGTAAACTGAGATTATAGAAAATGTAAAACTGAATACTGTCTAGAACAATACCTAGAGCACTGTGACTTCGAGCAGCGCTCCGCTATTAGTAAAATAAGAACCAGTGCCCACTCCTTGGAAATCGAAAAAGGGCGATATATGAAACTGCCTGTGTCGGAGAGAATTTGTAACTATTGCTCCTCAAATGCAGTGGAAGACGAAATTCATTTCATCTCTAACTGTCCATTTTATGACATCAGAAAACAATTATTTAGCACCGTGTTCAAAATGCTCCCTTACTTCCCCACCATTCCCTACCACAAAAAAAAACAATTTTACTACTAAAATCAAAGAACCCACATATTATAGAAGAAGTGGGTAAATTCGTCTTCCACTGCCCAAAAAGAAGAAATCAAACCCAGTAAAACTAGCACCATGCTTATCATGCATGTTGTTGAATATATAGTCTCACATACCACTGTATTTTCTTTCTTAATGTTGTTTGTAACTGCAATTAGCCCTCGGGCATGTATTTGCAATAAACTTTCGTTATTAAGGGAGGGTCCTCTGTACACTAATGTTTTACTCGGTCTGTTTTCCTCCGGGAAGTCTAGCGTTAACTTGGTGGCAGATCTTCTTGACTTGAGAAATTGGGTGAAGACTACTCTCCAAGCAGAGGTTGTGGGGAATGATCGTTACATCTTTATATATGGTCTTTTTTTTGTCCTGACCCCCACCGTCGGTGGCCAACGAACCTTCTCTGGCTAATGGATACTGCCTGGCCAATTTGATACTGTCTTTTTGCCACCGAGAGGGATCTGCTTGGAGATTATAGATGTCCGTGTCTACGGGAGTGCTGAGTCCATCATTACAGTCTCCCGAATTCCCGACGAATTTGACGATAACTATGTCAGGAACTACTTGTCCCGTTTCGGACAGGTCCTTGCTTCCCGTATGGTAGCATACAGGGACAGGCCTTCCGTCAGAAATGGCAACAGACAGTACAAAGTTGTCCTCAAGCCAGGCGTAAACGTCCCGTCTTCTTGGAGGTTGGCGGGTGGTCGTCTGGTCTTTTTCAGTTTGGTAGGCCAAGTTCGAACTTGCATAAAATGCTATCAGGAGGGTCATGAAGCGGCGAACTGCACCGTTCGCTTCTGCAACAAGTGCCGAAAGGTCGGTCACATCGCCTCTGACTGTACCAATGACATAGTCTGCAATAATTGCAACAAGGAAGGCCACACCGCTCGCCGGTGTCCAACATCCTACGCAAATAAGCTACAGCTTGAGAACAAATGGACCAAGGGTCCTGAAGCTGTGGTAGATAAGTCTACGTGTAGCTCTGGAGTCCCTGCTCAGGTGGAGCAGACTGAGCCAGAAACTTGAGCGGTTCACGACACTCCTATGTCGCAGGGGCAAGACCCTGATGAGCAGGATAACTCCGAGGAGGAGTCAGCAGATTCCTCCGAGGACGAAACAGAGGAGAAAATGGAGTTAATTCTAACTCCCTCCCCTGGAAACGAGAGCGGGAGCACCCAGCCCCAAAGCTGAGGCGCAGAGTAAGACTTCCCGTCGCAAAAACCGACGACGAAACAAGCCCAGGGGAAAGAACAACGAACCCCCTAATCAGAAGCATGAAATTGAACAGGCCTTAACTCATGAACTTATGGCAAAGGAAGCGGGTGTCAAGACAACCCTGATCACTGAAACCGCTAGTACGTCATCAGATGAAAAAGACTCCGATTTTACCGGAATGGAAGTTGACAGCCAAGAGGCCGGCAGTATCAAACCGTTCGGATGACGAGGTCAGCTGTAAAAGAAAGGCTAACCCCTCGTCAAAGACAGTCCGTCCCACCGATTACAACCTTCCTCTTGCTGAGGATCTCCAAATTGAAGAGTTCGAATCTTCTGAAGAATCTTTATAATAATAATGATGACTCGAACCAAGCATAGGCTGTATGCCTTAACTTTTTTTTGACAATGGTAGTCATAGCAACTTTAAACGCTTGTGGGACGGGTAATCCCAACAAACGCAAACAAGTGTATAACCTCTGTAGACAACAACAATTTGACATTGTGTGCTTGCAGGAATGCCACATTTCACACGTTGAAGGAACGACCTTGTGGGAGAGGGAATGGGGAGGTCAAGCTCTTTGGAGCTTGGGGACGCCCAATGCGAGGGGTTATGTATTCTGCTTTCCCCATCCCTCGACCTCAATGTTGTTAAAAATTCTGCGATGAAGATGGGCGTGTCGTGTGCGTTGTTCTGTCTAACGGCACACGTTCTTTAAGAATCTGCAATGTCTACGCACCAAATGAAGCTGCGGAAAGATCAGACTTTTATCGCAGTTTAAACAACTTCCCATCTAACGCCGATCCGATTTCAACTGCATAGAAATATATCCGATTTCAACTGCATAGAATGTCTCAGCCTGGATAAAAATAAAAGAGGGGGAAACCCGAATCGTAGTTCTGGCGGCTCAAAAGTTCTAAGACACCTCTGTGATAATCACAATCTACATGACCCGTGGCGACAGCTAAACCCGGACGCTCGGGTATATACTTGGCGCTCAGGGGACAACAGTGTAGCATGTCGTTTAGATAGATTCTACGTATCCAAAAGTCTACCTAACCATAGCCACACTTTTCTGCCAGCTTACTTCACTGACCACGACTGTGTGAACATCGAAGTCCTCCCCACAATCAAAAAGAAATATCCATGTGGAAGTGTAACGTCTCCATTCTAAAGGATCAAGAAGTCCAGACTGACTTTATAACATCCTACAAGGACTGGCAGACGCTAAAACCTGGCTTCCCATCTTTAAGATCTTGGTGGGATAACGTTAAGCAGAGAACCCGCTCCTTATTTATCAAGCACTCCTGCAAGATAGCGAAAGAAAAAAGAGACGACCGATACCAACTCAATAACAGGTTGGGAGACCTTACCAACCAACTTAATGCTGGCAACCTCTCCCCTGCCACACTAAGACAATACCAGTCAAACGAAAAATCCTCTCACCGAATTGGCACTGTCAATTCGATAGGATAGTTCTTCGGTAAACCGAAGAACGAAGAACTATCCAACTCAAGGTGCCATGGTACGATCAAGAATCAAACACTTCGAGGAGGGAGAGAAGTGTACAGCATTTTTCTTAAAACAGGCCGCTTCCAATGGCAGGAAAAAGAACATCTCAGCCGTACGTGACTCGGCAGGACAAGTCGTCAACGAGGACGACGAGATTTCCAATGTTTACAAAGAATTCTACGCAGAATTGTTCACGGAAGAGCCGGTAGACCCGGTTGCCTCCGATCAGCTATGTAGCAATCTTGATAACACTCTGAGCACAGAGGAGGTCCAGTTACTGGAGACCCCCCTCTTTACCGAAGAACTATCCAACTCCGTACATAGTGTGGCGAACAACAAATGCCCGGGCAGTGATGGACTCCCCAAAGAGTTCTACATTACCTTTTGGCATTTAACAGGCGATGATCTACTGATGGTGTTCAACGGAGTTTTTGACGCCGGGGAACTTTCCCCTAGCCAGAAATTCGGAGTTGTACGTAACACTGCTGCTAAGAAAGGGGACGAATTGGATCCCCAAAATAGGATACCAATCTCCCTTTTAAACACCGATTATAAAATACATGTATTAAGGTCCTCAACAATCGCCTTCAGTCCGTGGTATCGTCGGTGTTGCACCGGGATCAAATCTGTGGTGTACCCGGCAGATCAATTCAATGCAATCTTCGACTGATTCGAGACATTTGTCTATGCAAATAACAACAATGTTATTGTCTATGCTAGTGTCTCGCTGGACCAAACAAAAGCTTTTGACTGCGTAAACATCTCCTTTTTGCACAAAACCCTCACAAAGATGTGGTTTGGCCCTTCCTTTAGGAAGTGGGTTTCAATTCTATACCACAACATCGCAAGTTCCGTGTTAGTAAACGGCTCCCTGTCGTCACCCCGGCCCGCAGGTTGCTCGACCTATATTGAGAGTGGTCGTTTTTTTTACTAGCTCGGGAAATGACGGCCTTTCTCAAGCCGTTGCCCACGATTAAAGGCAGCTATCGACTGCGTGTGGGTGCGTGCAGGACCTGCACGGCACGGGGAAGACCCCGGTGTAAAGAAAAGGCGGTGTGGTTCGGTGATTTTAGCCGGTACGGTGGTCTCAACGGCCACGGCACCGGGCGGTGGCAGAGATGCAGGCGGGGTGGCCTGGGTGTGCCCCGGCCCGGCCAAACTAAGACAGTGGTGGAAGAAGCCCTGGATTTGGGCAGGCGTTCATACCCGGTGCACTCCTGTGGTTCTCCGGTGGCGGGATGAAGCGGGTAGTGGCGGCACGGGGCGAGCTCGCTCGGGCTACGGCAGCCTTGTAGCGGCCGCTGTGTG